GTCCTTGAGCGGGTATATTAAAGGGTATTCTCCCCGCAGGAGGTGACGTGCAAGACGGTGTCGCTGTGCAGCGAGACAGCCGCGCTGGCGCCGGGCGCGGCCGAGCTGGGCGCCGTGCTGGACCGGCTGGCGGGCGAGGAGCCGCCGCTCCTGTGGGCCGGCGCCGCCGCCGCCGACTGCGCGCGAGTGCGCGACGCCGTGCGTTACGCCGCGCTCGAGATCAGCGAGCATCTTGAGACGTATTTCGACAGGCGGGAGCACGCGCTCGAGGTATGTCATGCGTCATGTAGCTTCAGCTTATCGAGACTAGCGAGCATCTTGAGACGTATTTCGACAGGCGGGAGCACGCACTCGAGGTATGTCATACGTCATGAACCTTCAACTAAAGGCTTCGGCAGACCAAACCGCGCGAGCGCGGGCCTGCGCTGTTGTATTACTGTGGCGGCCATATTAGCATGACACACAGGAGGCAGGGCGGTAGCAGCGCGTTGAAAGGTTTTCGAATATTGAATTTTTGACAACCACCCGCGTTGCAACTGCTTTGAAACTGCGCTGCCTTTAGTGTGCCTACTGCCGCGCTGCAACTGACCCGCGCTGCAACTGACCCGCACTGCTTCTGACCCGCATTTGGTCTGTGGAAGCCTTTAACGTTAGCTCGTTAGCTTACTTGGCGTCAGTTAAACAAGTGGAGTACTACATACACTTCGACTGGAGAGAACATACGCTAGAAGCTAAACATTTCTCAGTCAGGTAAGTCACACCGCACTCGAGATCAGCGAGCATCTTGAGACGTATTTCGACAGGCGGGAGCACGCGCTCGAGGTATGTATTGCAGCTTCTTTTATATCTTGACAATTTCACACAGCGCCATCCTTTTTGCGCAAATTGTCAAGCGGTCGCAATCTGCCAAATTCGCAAATTGACAATTTCGCAAAATGTCAAATGCGCAAACTGTCAAATTCGAAAAAGTCAAGTTTTCAAAATGTCCAGTTGTTTAGGTTTAATAATAAAAGTCAAGTAATTTTATTATTAAATCTAAACAACTGGACATTTTGAAAACTTGACATTTTGCGAATTTGAAAATTGCTCATTTGACATTTGGCGAATTTGGCAGATTGCGACCCCTTGACAATTTGCGAATTTGACAATTTGCGCATAAAGGAGCGCCATCTAGCCTCAAAGTAAGCAACTAATATGCTTGTGTTATGGGTGCTAGCTTAACGCATATACTACTTAGTAGTGTAGTAGTAGTAGTAATGTGACTACTTTTTAACCCAGACCCGTCACAGAAACTTAAATTTCATCATTTAAATTTCTGCCCGGCCGGGAATCTATGGCCTTCCTCAACAAATGGGCTATCTAACACTGAAAGAATTTTTCAAATCGAACCGGTAGTTCCGGAGATTAGCGCGTTCAAGTAAACAAACAAACAAACAAACAAACTCTTCAGCTTTATAATATTAGTATAGAGTATAGATAGACAAGGCAAGTAGAGTGTCATACTTCGATAATGTTAGCGTTCGTGAGAGTGCAAGGCGGAGGGAAAGACATCACAACGCGGGGGACTGCTAAGAAGGAGCACGCGCTCGAAGTATGTAATGCAATGTAGCTTCGGCTAAACATTAGCTCCCTAACGATGCTTGCTTAAGTGAAGCAGAAAATCGAACGCGCAGCGTTGAATAGAGCTCTGTGATTAGTTCGTGTGTCACCCTGTGCGTCCACGCGTCCTGTGAGATCTCATAGTTATGTTTGAGAATACGGGCGTTAATCTCAATTACACTACTTACGTGCCTACTTCGGGTCCCATACGTAGTGGTGAATACTTAAGTATCATTATAATTAATAAAAATAATATTATAAAGATCTGTAATAACCCTACAGAATGAGTCATCGTTATCACACTTAACGCACTCACACAAGCACAAGGCGTTGCTAGCCTGCACACATACACAGTTACCCCTTTCCCTTTCCATGGCTCGGGCCCTGCACACATACAAACTAAGGGCGGGGCCCGCTAATACGCTTGTTATTCCAGAACTTTCGACAGACAGGGGGCAACGGGGGGACAGGGGTGAAATCGATACGGTGTAACGCCAGCGCCATCGCGATTTGATAGTAGCGGATTTTTTTTCTCTCCTCATTTTAAATCATTATTTGCATCGCAAAAAAATGCAAAGTTTAATTTTACCCATTTTTTTCTCTATTTTTTGTAATACGTCAAGAAAATAAAGTTTTCCGCTATTATTATAGGACATTCTAGGTTGTTTCGGTGTCTTATACCTACACTCGATTTTGGATGTTTATACCCAAAAACAACATAATGTGTACAATTTTTATTTTCAAATATTATTTAAAGCGAAGAAAACTAAATTATTTAAATTATTTTCGAGTCCTTGTCAAGAGCATAATAGACTATTTAACACCATTCCCCAATAATTTGAAATCACAACTTTTTTGATAAGACACTTCATTCTGGTCCTAAAAACTTAATTAATTTTAAATTACCTGTAAATTAACATTTTTGGTTGCATTGTAATTGAAAAAAGTAGTTTGAGTTGACAAAATAGTGACGTCACAGGCTTGTATTGCCATGCAAAATCCATGGGAGAGTCTCGTTTTGTCAGTTTTAAAAAGTACGTCAATTGATTAGTGGTGTCAAATAGTCTTATTGACTACCTCGTTAAAGTAAAATTAACTTCTCAGTATTACAAGTTATCAAGTAAAACGGTCAAGAAAAGACGTTGCACTTTACATCCCAGCAGCTACCGCTGCAGGATTCCTAACTTCATTACTCGCCACAAAGTCGCCAAAAATTCCTAACTTCATTACATTTATTATGTAAATCACATGAAATTAGCAACAGTATTATTTAATATAATTGATGTTTAGATTCAGACAAGATTCCTGCAATTTTTTTTCATGGTCTGACGTGGTTAACCTCATCGTACCCCAAATACTGCACTGAAATCTACTGTGGTTTCGTCTAGGACACTATTTTTTTTTAATAAATAAATAACAGCTTTTAAAAACCGGCCAAGTGTCCGATATTATTGAGTCGATAGCGCGATAATAGCTGTAGTGAGAGAGAGAGAGAGAGAGAGAGATACAATAATTGTAGAGTAATTTCAAAGCGCTGATTTTATGCTGACTCACTGCTTTATTAACAAACCTACGTAGTCTGTGAATCTTTTGAAACGGGCCTTCAAACATAAGCCGCGCCCAGTGCCCACGCTCTGAACGGGAATAGAACCCGCGCCGCTTCACCCGCTGCCCTCAACCCTGCTCCTGCGCCCACATTCAAGACACGAAGGTCTTATCTAGCCTTCGCACGAAATCGATATTCCTTCTGGAAGTTTTCCATTTGTAAACATAAGCCATGATACAAATTGTCGCCCGCGGTATTATTAGCTACCTACTTCATTGATACGAGGGCTGCACTAAAAGTATCGGGAATGGAATATTTCCACTGTTCCAGTCATATTAAAATCTATTTAATTGCAAACTCCAGGGTTTCAAAAATCGTATACCATTTATTTATTTAAAAAAAGATTCTCGGTCGTATCACAAGGTCTTGTCAAACTTGTTTAGTCGTTGAGAAAATGGAATTGTCTCGAGAAAATTCATGAGCGATGATTTATTATGACTTTTGAAGTGGTTTAACACAAAAACAGTGTGTTGACCGGATGATTTCTGCATTTGGTAATGAAGCCCCATCCAAAACCACAATTTATCGCTGGTTTCCTGAATTTCAACGTGGACGTGTCAAGCTCAGTGATGATCCCCGTCAAGGTCGTCCAAAAACTGCAGTCACCTAAGAAAACGTTGATGCTGTGCGTAAGCTGATTGAAGAAGATCGACATGTGATATACCGCGAAATTCAGGCAACTTTAGACATTGGCATGAGTCAAATACAAATAATCTTGCATGAACAATTAGGTGTAAAAAAGTTGTTTTCCCGATGGATACCGCATTCGCTCTGTGAAGAGCAAAAAGCGGCTCGCGTTACTTGGTGCGTCAGAACTCTCGGGAGATTACATGCAGGATCCTCAAATGCTGTATACAACATCGTATCAGGTGACGAATCATGGATATACGCGTACGAACCCGAAACAAAAAACCAGTCACGAGTTTGGGTGTTCGAAAATGAGTTAAAGCCAACAAAAATTGTTCGTTCACGGAGTGTTGCAAAAAAAATGGTGGCCACGTTTGTCTCCAAAACCGGCCATGTTGCGACTATTCCTCTTTGGGGACAAAGAACGGTTAATGCAGAATGGTATGCTAGCATTTGTTTGCCACAGGTTGTTTCTGAACTCCGTAAAGAGAACTGCAACCGCGGCATCATCCTCCATCACGACAATGCGAGTTCTCACACCGCGCACAGAACAAAAGAGTTTTTAGAGCAAGAAAACATAGAATTATAAGACCATCCGCCGTTCAGCCCCGACCTAAGCCCTAATGATTTCTATACTTTCCTTAAAATAAAGAATAAATTGCGTGGTCAGACATTTTCATCACCTGAAGAAGCTGTGGACGCCTACAAAACGGCCATCTTGGAGACCCAAACTTCCGAATGGAATGGTTGCTTCAATGATTGGTTTCGTGTTTGGAAAAATGTGTCAAATTTCGCGGAGAATACTTTAAAAAGCAATAAATACATTTTTAAATAGTAATGTTGTTTCACTTCCTTGATTCCCGAAATTTTCAGTGCCGCCCTCGTAGTCATAGTCATTTATCTTTGTTGTATCTTAGATACGGAACTATAAACAGTTGGTCTTCAAAATCTAGACCAATCGACCATTTTGCAATTCTTGTTTTGTTATTCGATTTCACAATGACGCAGACATAATACAATCTGAAAATGTTTGATTTTGATACAACGATTCAATTTTATGTTATTTGAATGATTGTAACCGGAAAACTATTTTTTAACTCAAACGAAACCGATTTTGTTAAGTTAACAAAGAGCCTCACGAGTATCTGAATATCATTTTCGAAATAACAAATCCACGTCAATGATAGTATTACGATACTTGCACCGATTTATCCCAATCCCAATACATGTTAAGTATAATGTATTGTGTTTGTATGTCGTGTAAATATATTGGTGGCGTGTGGTAGGTACAAAAACTAAGTGGAGCGGGCCAGAAGAGCTTCAAGTTCGTGCCGAACTGATTATGAAAAAAAAACGGCTACCAACTAGATTTTTGAAAGAAGTAGCTATCCCGACAGACGCTGTCCTGTCTTAAGGATAGTAAATTTTACTCTGTTTTTAATTTTACGCGCAACTCGCTTAATTCTCTTACTTAAGAACCTTCTCAGGAGAATAACAAACACAACAAAAATAATTAGAGTAGGTACCTAATTAGTTCAGCCGTTCACGCGTGGTGCCGTAAGAGTACCTAATTAGTTCAGCAGTTCACGCGTGGTGCCGTAACCAAGGAAAACAGGGATTAATTTGTATTATGTTTTATTACGACTTGGGATAACAAGGCATCATTGCGATATTTATTTTCTTTCTGTTCAACTCTATACCAGCTAAAACTAACTGTTAAATTCGAGAATCCACAAAAGTAAAGAGCGAAAAGAATGTCACATTGTTGGCAACATAGAATATAAAACATTGTATTTTTACTATTACTAACTTTTCTGTTCATTATCTTTCTTGTCTTTGTGCAATACTATAACGGGTCAATAATAATTAGTACCTATACTTAACTTTAACAGCGCCTGCAAGTAATTTCATGAAAAAGCGATAATTCTGCTTCTTTTTCACACATTCCAATGTCCAAGACTTTCTGCCTTTTTTCGCTGTTCTTCGTCAA